CCCCAAAACCCCAAAACCCCAAAACCCCAAAACCCCTTATTTAGAATAAAATATAGAAAATTAAAAGAGCAAGAGGTTATTGTCTTCCTCATCAATTCTTTTCTTCATCTCTTTTACCATATTTATATACTTAGGATTAAGTTTAGAGATCCTTTCCATAGTAGTGTAAACACCTCTACCTCTATCCTGAATGTAATGGGCTGTCTTAGGGTTTTTGCCATAAACAAATGCTCTTTTGTCCCTTCTAAATTGCCTCACACACGAATCGATATATTTCTTGCTCAGCTTAAGAACTTCTTTGGACTCCTCAATAGCCTCTCTCTGGTTTTCAAGGTCTTCTTTAAGACTATTATGAGCTTGATTGATTAACTTCTTCTCTGATTTAGTAATGTTCATATTATAATCTCATTCTTTCATACAGAGATTCAAAGTCTAAAGTTCAGAATACAAGTACCTTCAGGTCTTTAACATTTGATCTTTTCTTCGGAGGTTTTACTAATGCAGTCCAGGTCGTCAACATGTTAGTACTTCTGAGTTGCTTCTAGATTAAAGTTATCTCAAGGGCTTACCCCAGTTTTAGGTCTTCTCTTGCCGGATTTCAACCGAACTTTTTCAGTAATCACACTAACAGATTTGAAGTTATTCTCCTTTGGACAAGCCTTAGCGGTTCTCTTCGAGAGAGTTTCTCTCCCAGTCGATGGTCTAGTACGACTCATAGAGTCTGTCTTCCTAGTCAAAGCACTGATAACATTCCTCTTTCGAAATTTACGCTTAAGATTTCGTAGTCCATTTCATTTAATTAAAGTTTTATTGTTCCTGATATCAAGATCTATTTGTGAATTTTCAGGTCCAAAGGAAATCCTTTGGGTTTCGTCAGTAGGCTCGGCAAAAATAGAGACTGTCCGGTCTACAGGAATTTCTGTATCCTCCTTCAACTTGATATTATTACTCTTAGTGTTATTATTTTGAACTAAAATAGCTTCTTGTTCATATTCCTGGTCAGTTTTATTAGTTTTTGTTAAGAAATTATTAACTTTTAACTGACTCCGCCCAGATTCATTAGATTTCTGAGTGGCCATATCATGAATAACCTCATCAATGCCGTCCTGAGTCTTCTTAAAGCCAAGAAAAGTAGGGTCATTAGCAAGGAGGTAGTCGAAATACTGGTCCCTTGTGATTCCAAGGCCGAGGTCTAAATGTTTGACCTGCTTCTTCTGATGCTCATCTCTACTTTCATAATCCTTCCTGGTTATGTCCCTGTCTCTTGAAGTAAGAATGACTTTGTTCTGGGTTTTGAGCCTCCATAATTTGTTCTTCTTAAAATTTAACCCCTTCTTTCTCTTCTTAACTCCACTCAACCTCCGACACACCTTCGCTGTCGAAACCGAAAACCTCTTCTTACTCTTCGCTCTCTTAAACTCCTTCCTCTTCCCACTCTCAACCTCCACTAAAATTTTCTTCTCAAGTTCCGCCAACTTCATTAAATATTTCTTATAGACCACATAATCCAGGTCATTATTGTCCAAATTATAGGCGTTCAGGTCAGTCCAGGAGCCCATGCCGACTGCTGGGTCTTTAACCCCGCCTTTGAAGGTCTTCCCTTCTTCCTTGGCCCTCTTGATCTGTCTTGACCGCCCTTCGAATACTTTCTTTTTAATCTTCCCAAAGACTTGTTCCTTGTGGTATTTGGACATATGAGGTTCTGTATACTCTTTATAAAGCACCTCCCAGAAGTGATTGAGGTTACGTTTCATCTCAGCTAGATTAGGCCATTCCATCTTTAGAAAATTTTCAATATTTTTATTTCTACAGGGGTTTTGGGGTTTTGGGGTTTTGGGGTTTTGGGGTTTTGGGG